GCACTTGTTCTTTTCAAACTTCAATTTGCAGTTTTCACTTTCATTCGCCTCTTTTTCTCCTTTGCTGTCCACTACTTTCCTGCTTTCCTTCAATTCATTTACCAGCGCCTTTAGCTCCTCTTCAAACTTTATGTGATCTGCCTGAAGTTCAACAAGGGAAGCTTACGCTAAATGTACTGCATATAAGTAAAAGTTACTGACCAGAATACTAGCTAGATAGCGATTGGTAATTCTCTTGAGAGGACATAAACCGTCAGTGCTATATGTAGGTGGAGGCTTGATGCTGGCCTTGCGGAAAAATGACGTGTTCGGTAAAAGATGATAAGGCGGCGGTAGTGGCAAGTAGCGAGGGCGCTTTGCGGGGTCCGGATGTTCCAGATTCTGCAAATCTTCATCCATGTTTGGCGGCAGAAACACTGGCCACTAAAAGCCCAGCTCCCTTCAATACCACAGTACTGATTTTGTCTCACTGACCACTCTTTGCCCTCAAGAGTATAACCTGATTTGAATTACCTCTCGATAAGATCCACGCCGGTAGTTCCTGTGAATTTCTATGAGCTGTTTTGCGGTTGCACTAGGAGGACGCAAGAGTGGACGTTCAGGACTCGATGCCTCGATGTAAGGAGTTGATGTGAGAAGCTTCACAGGGGAAACCACCTGTTCATCCTGTAAATGTTCTTAAAATATTGCAGGTTCCCTCACTCTTGTGAAATTTCACTAGTTGATAATTCAGCGTTTATCTAAAGGTTGTTTATAAGAAGACTTATTTTCGTGCAATAATTCGTTAGAGAGAAACGGGATATTGCGGTGATATGCTGATGATAATATCCTTTATCAAATCAATCATCCCAACTCCTAAAGCTTTCACTTTTATCAAGAAATATGAGTGGTAAACCCACTAGCACAAGATAGAAGACGGTATCCCTTAATAAGATTTTAGTGCTCCAATATGGTAAATTTAGAAGCAGACAAGCACTACGCAAAAAGGCTGAGAAGTTTGCATAGACACTCAATCGCAGCACTAAAACAGAACTAAACTCGGAGAAATCTTCGCAAATGAAGCATAGAGACTCCAAATTGCCTCTCTCAAGAGAATCTCCTTTCAGGCTGAGGCTGATTTGGCCAGTAAAAGTCCAACTCATTTGGACACCTCTCACGAAGGAATCTTTTTTAAGAAGTAGTTAATTAACAGACTTGGTAGCACAAAGCAATTTATAACTGTGCTATCGCACTCGTGGATGAACTGCCCAAAGACGTTCTTGTACGGACCATATTCCTCTCCTTTCCAATACGCTACGCTCCCCCTTCCCACCTTTACTTCGCTGTTGTTCCTCGCTTTTCTAGCTGCATCTTACATCCTGATCACAAACTAATCTAGTATCTACGTGTTGAAAACATAGCGAAATAGATGTACAGTTTTCATATCTTGACGAAAAACGAACCATTGGAAGCGTACAGTTGTCAAAGCTATCGAAATCCATTGAGTCCTTCCTCGCCTTCATTTTAAAAATGCTGCGCAGCCGCTTGACACTGTTTGT